TGGGTGCTGATACCCAGTCGATCGGTCCTGATGGCCAGTTGATGGGTGCTGAAAGCTGGTCGATCGGTCCTGATGGCCCGTTGCTGGGAGCTGAATGCCGGTCGATTGGTCCTGATGGCCGGTAGTGGGGAGACGATGCTGATGGCCAGTTGTGGAGGAGTGCTGAAATCCGCCGGACTGCAACGAAGTTTGGAATGATGATGAGAGCTCGCGAATCGGCAGGTTGGTCCCAATGGACCCTTGCAAAGCGGTGACCCTTGTCCTGGGGTATGGTGGTGGCACCTGATACTGATCCGTTTGGGGGTCTTCGTACAACCGTTCGAAGGAGTTTGAGTGCAGCTGTTGGGGCGGATGAAATGAGTCTTGACCAGGGGCGGGATACTCCAGTGGATATTGATCGTTCATCGTGACTCACGTCTGCGGTGCTCAATGCTACAGATGGTAGGATGCACGAGCTCTGGGGTCAAAACGGCACCGGATGGGCCATCCCAGGTGACAAACTGCATCTGCTGTATCCTGTATGGCTGTCCAGCCCTATACAGTCAATAAGGGCTGTAAGCAATCTGATAGCGGCTGTATTGCGATATCGTAAGGTGTTTTCCAGTTTTTCCATTTTCAAACAACCTCCATGAGGTTGTTTGAAACTTTTTTTTGGTAAAAAAAAATTACGAACTGTTATGAAAATAATCAAAAAGAAATTGAAAAATTTCTCAAAAAAAAAAAAAAAGAGCGTTTATAATTGTCGCCTAACACAACCCAAATGTGAACGACCTCGCGCAAGCACGTTGGTATTTTTGAGGTAAGTTGGATAGAGACATGGAATCTCGTTTATGAAGCTGAAAAATCTAGTTCTGAAGCCACTTATAGAGAACCAACAAGAAGTTCTCCAGTGACCAACAGGCCATGGATATTATTCAATAGCGCCCATGGACTCGTCATACACTAGCATGGGGGACAATTAAATCCTCTCTTCCAGAGTGGAGCTGGTTGGTTTTTAAGGCTCTCAAAAGTGAGTCACAAATGGAAGAATAAAGAGAGAACCAGAGGAAGAAGGAAGCTCCACACATCTACCTCTATAAAACAAGACTTACAACCAAATTTTTGATCCTAGTGAAACTAAAACATAGCTTAAGATGTTGGTCAACCAGAGACAACATCCACCCAAAAAAATGACCATCTTGTGAAGCTTTCTGTTTTTTCTCCCCATCTTTGGAACACCTATGTGCCCTAAGTTTTCTGTCAGTACTCTTGAGGCCTAGAATTGAAATTAGTCTTCACCAATAATTGTATAAGACTGCAGACTTCAAATCAGCCATCATTATGCTTCACCAGATAACTGGATGAGCCTAGATTCAGAGGTGAACAGGTTGGAGATCTTTTTTTTGCAAGTCAAGTCTTTTGGACCCTTGGCTTGACCAATAAGTAGATGGTAATTAAAGAACCACCTGAATCTCAATGTAAGACAACTTGTGACCTCCACATCCTCCAGACCAACCCCAAGTGAGGGTCTCCAGTCATCTAACTGACTTGATTCACAAGAAGGTCTTTTGCTGATGAGAAGTTGATCATGATTGATTTTCCCCAGCAAATGAAGGTGAGTGCTTCCTTCTGAATCAGCAAATTCAGACTGTAGGATTCAATGCTCTATATATGTAGGGGTATTCAAAGTCGGACCATGGATGGACAAACATAAGTCGTACATAAGCTTTGGTCCATGAATGAATTTTGATGGATGTATGTAGGTAAAAGGTCCATTACAAGTGTATGCTTTTGCATCTTACCATGTGTCCATAGTATGTATGTAGACTGGACATATTGTGCACAGAAAGTATACACAGACATGGAAATATGAAAGTAACTGACTACTTGCATAATCATTCTGTCAACACAAGAAAAAAAAAATCACAACAACCACCAATCAATCAAAAAAAAAGGACAAGTAAGAAAAGCTGAGAGAGAGAAAAAAATTAAGGAAGAAATATTCAAAGAAAGTTATAGTAAGATATATGTGAAAACTCAAGGATTATGGTGTACACAAGAATAGAATAGATGGTCAAGTTGGAAATAGAAACTCAAATTCTAGGAGGTCCTTTTTTCAAATATAAGTGTATAAGTGTATATATGATGTATATATATACATTGATGAATGATACATAATATATGTAAGAATAAATCTATAAAATGGAAAAAAAGAGGCAACAACTGTATATATATTTAAATTCTAAACAACCATAAGATGATAGGCTTCAGTTTATCGAGATGGAAGAAGTGTAAAAGGGATTCTTGAAGCGAAATGGGGGGCAAAGAACCGGAGAAAAAAAGCGAAAAAAGGGGGGGGGAGGAGGTCTAGCGAGGTAAGTCCTGATACGAAGTGTTATTGGAAGGAAGATTAGGATGGAGGTGATGGTCATCCAAGTCGTCCGTAGGAACGGGCTGAAACTGGCGGTCACGAGCGGAGCGAGGCAGCGACGAATCGGGGGAAAGATGATGATGATGGTGATTTTTGAGGATGATTTCAGTTTCATCTGAGGGATGATGAGCAAAGTCGCCATGGCCGTCGCGTCGCAAGCGTCTTCGGACGAAGAAGATGAGGCCGACGACGAGGCCGACGAGGGTGAGGAAGAGCATGGCCGAGGAGGCGTTGTAGTAGTTCTCGTCATGCACCGGCCCGCTCGTCATCGCAAGCCCCGTCGTCCCGCTCCCTTCCTGCCCTAGCTTCGTCTCGTTCATCACCACCCGGTTCACCTTCGTCGCCGTCTCCTCTCCGATCCGACTCGTGATCTGCGCCGCCGGTCCCGCCGCTGTCATCACATCGATCCCCAGAAATCGCACCCTGTATTCATCACACACAGTCCATTGTGGATTAGTCTTTGGAACTCTTCCCATTCACAAGCCAGAGAGACTCTTACAGCATATCTTGAGTCACATATGGCACATCGTACGGGGCCATATGAGACTGGTTAACGGAAAGGATGTGGTACTCATCAGATGGTGCGTGCTCCTATATCACGAGGAAGATGCTGAAAACCAAAACACTTACCGCATTTGCGACGAGAACGTATGTCAAGTTTCGTTCTTCCTTCCAGAGACCAGCATAGCTCCCATTGACCTTCCAAGGTTGATTGATGGCTTGGGACTATCACAGAGATAACATTTTTTTTTAAAAAAAAAAAGTAGAAGGACCATATGTACAGTCAGTCACGATAGTTCTACGGAGTCTCCTTGCATACAGACTTAGGTTGTACTGTAAGCGATTGGGGGAGAAATGATAAGCGTCTTGGGAATGAAAAAAAGAGATAGGTCACTCAAACCGTCCATCCTTGATGACCTGCCCATGTCAAATGATCGATCATTCGTTCGGTCCCAGTATGACAACAAATCCTACACCCGAATCCCCCCCAAAAAGCAATGAAATCAATACAAGTCCAATGGCGTCAAAATCAAGTCCCAAAAAAAAAGAAAAAAAAAGAAGAATCAAATAAGAGTGACGAACAAGTCTTGATCACCGGAGAACAGCAAGATTTTAATTTTATCCAACAGTTTAGGGAACAGAGTGACCGAAGGCTGCGAAGTTTTAGCCCAGAAGTTATTGCCGACCTTAGCCTCGCATTCGACCCAATCGGCGGCATGGTCCTGGGCATGCAAGGCTTGTTTGACGTCTGTCCTCGAGAGATAGGGGGTGATGTCCGCGAGATCTGGCGGCCAGGTTAGGCCGCATGCTGGGTAACTGTCCACTAATCTCACATCATACATGTTGAGACACATTTTTTGCGAATTCACCCTGGTAGATGTTAAAAAATGATGTCAGTGGGGGGGTTGACCAGATGGATTTTGAGAGGGAAAAGATAATAAAGCGTGGAGGAGAGGGAACACATACGTTTGGACGGTGGAGTCAGTGATAGCGCTCAGGATGCCTTCACACGCCTCGATGTGGATCGGCGTCGTAGAATTAGAGTCGATCCATTCGGTGCATTTCTTGAGCTCTTCGTTGACCAGGTCGGCGGCTTTGGAAGACGGGTTGACGAGACCAACCTTGAATGCGAACTCGGGATACGCTAGATATTGGTTGATCGGATCGATCCAGCCGTTGCCTATCATGATCCCTTTGAGCGGCGCACTGATGATGTTGGTGTCTAATATTGCTTGGGCTACAATTATTATTATTTTTTTTTTGAATAAACACACAAATATTAAATGTCACCGTAAATTAGTTTACGAGTAATTTTTCTCCGTCTTGGTGTTTTTTCTTTTTTTCAAAACTGACCGAGATATGGGATGTATTGACCCGCGAAGCTTTCGCCGCAAATATACAGATCCATCTGCTGATACTCGGGGAAGATCTTGAAGAACCTAGCGAGAAGGTTGACCAAGTTAGCGGAGCTGACGTCGAGTTCGTGGACGTAGTTAGGTTTAGGGCCATAAGAGTAACCGGTTCCGGTAGGCTGATCGATGAAGAGCATATTAGCGTATTCGTTCCAAGCGGCGTCGACCTCTTTGAGAGTGCCGTCGCCCTTGAGGACCATCCTGAGCGGGCCGACCTCCATCAAGGAGCCGTCAAAGGACGAGCATCCCGGGCCGCCATTCAGCCATACTAACAGCACCGGTCGGTTGGCAATGTGTCGCGCCTTGTTCAGGAAGAAGAATCCGTACGAGTCTTTCTCCGGCTCGATCGTCGTGTCCGGCGGCGAGAAGGACAGATGGCCTGCATACAGAATCAGCTGCGAATCCTTCGGCTGGCCCGGCAAGGAGGGTACATAAAAATCAGAGGCACTCGGCGCTGTCTTTTTCTTCTTTCCGCTCGTGTTCGATGTTGTTGTTGTTGAGGAGGTGGTGGTGGAGGAGGAGGGGGTGGAGGAGGAAGATTCTGAGGGAGGCGACCGCCGTAATCGTTGGATGAATTCGGATTGCGGGGTTTCAGAGTTCATGTTTCGTCGATGCAGGCCTTGTCGGGTGGTCGCACTCTGGAACGAGCTCATGCTTTTCCAGCCTATGTGTTCTTGCAACGATGGCCAATATGTTGACAGCGTTCTCTTTCTACACATGGTCGATGAGATCCAAGTTTCAGTATGATTTGATCTAGAGCAGTCCGACTACAGATGGATCGATTTGATGACACTCACATTTTGTTTTATAATATAGGTGCAAACAAACAGCCTCCGCAGTATCTATTTGTCTGGTGATTCCAGGTTCGAGGTTCCGTTTTTCACGCAGTGTCGTCCACAAGTTTTTTGTTTGCTTGTATTCCTCGAAGTTTTCCAATGACGGGTTTCTTGATGATGGACTCTATTTATGTATCTGTGATGGAGAAGTCCTTATCCTCCTATTGATGTTAGTAGACTCTTGCTCGATTGCAGACCAAATATGTAGCAGCAAACCCGAGCTGTATCCCGAACTCCCGGGTGGAATATGGCATCGTACAGCCACAGACAAACAGAAGCCAGCAGTGCAGACCTGCAACTTTGTTTGTTCCCCCAATCGAGACAACCGAGACCCCCGGAAACAAAAACAGCACTAGTACGATTTCTTCGGCACCCGGTACACATAACAACAGCTAAACAAAAGCCGTCGTCGGCCGACCTTCAATGGACAAAAGAAAGAGATTGTGGGTAAATATGTATGCATGTAGAACAGAGCCGATCGGATCATAGCTTCTTCCCCTCGGCACCCGATCTTGCCGGTGATCTTGGGAGCTTGCCGCGTCCAGACAGACTCCCAACGAAGTCTCTCCATGGCCTCCTAAAAAAGTATTTATGACACTCTCAGATGAAAAAACGAGGGAGTCATCGTATCGATCGTCTGTTTATGTCCACAAACTCCAACAGCAGAGGAGTCTCCAAGCAAAGCCGGATGTACGGGGGATAAGACTCCCAACAACTATATATATATGTGATCACATGAATGCGTTGGAAAGGAGTGGATGAAGGATTGGGGGTGAATTTATTTACAGGGGTACAATCTTATCGATCAGCTCTAGCCCACCAAGCTGCATAGCCATGCATCTCACGGCCAAGAGAAGAAAGAGGAGCTCTTTCCTGTTGTTTGACTGGGAATGGATGTAAATGTGTGTGCTCAGGGCCCAAATCAGGGAAACTTGATCATGGCACTTTGGGATTTGTACTTCTCTCCTGCACCGGTTCGTGGTGCTAGGCCTCATTAGGTATACAGGAGCATTCTTTGCAAGCAACATGTCAACGTCAATAAACACATACCCATCATTTCTGTTTACTGTAGGAGCCTAGCAGGTCCGGTAATGATGGTTGGTTTTTTATTTCTTAGAGAAGAAAAGGGGACTTGAGAGCTGCAATTAATTTTTAAAGCCTTTACATTGATGTTATCAGGTTATCAGATTGACGGGACTTGGAAAGGTAACCATAGTCATACTCATACAGTCATAGTCAACTTGCATACTTCCGCATTCCATAATTGGGAGCCATTCTGTTGACACTATAACGATGAAGGAGGACAACAAAAAAAGAAACAGACAGTATCTCCAATTCTTGGGCTAATCATTGACAAAAAAAAAGAGGCTGCAGTTGACAGTTGGATGGCAGGTAATACGTTGGGACGGGTGAATTGGTAGGAGAAAGGCCGTACTTACTTACTTCTCAGATCGGTGGTAGTTGGCATACCAAACATAGACACCGAATTTAGGAGTGCCGCAAGTCGTGAGCAGGAGTGCAACTGGCAACAGTTGGAAAATTTGCCGAGTCAAACACCGGACTTGGTCCAGAGGGCCGGGGGGACTGGTGTATGTACCAGGGCCGCCTCGAGAAATCAGCCTCTTGCGCGAGGTGGTGCACCTGTTCGCCAAAAGAGACTCATTGGCGAGGTGCTCCCGGTCACCAAAAGAGTCTTTTCCGTGGAAAGAGCTGCTTGCGCGAGGTGCACCCGGTCACCAAAAGAGGCTCTTCGGCGAGGTGCCACCGGTCGCGAAAAAAAAAGCTCTTTAATCGACGCGACGGCACCTTCGCCAAAGAGACTCTTTTGGCGACCGGTTGAAGCTCGCGAAAGAGCTTCTTTGGACCACCGGTGGCACCTCACGCAAGAGGCTCTCTCGTTTGGCGACCGGTTGAAGCTCGCGAAAGAGCTTCTTTGGACCACCGGTGGCACCTCACGCAAGAGGCTCTCTCGGCGACCATGGCCCCTCGCTGAAGAGGTTCTTTTGGCCACCGGGTACACCTCGCGAAAGAGCCTCTTTTGGCGACCGGTGCCCTCGGTACACCGGAGTCCCCCCCCCCGTCGATTGTGTCAAGCTAGCAAATTTTTACAATTGTTACCAGTTGCACCCCGGCTCACGACTCGCAACACTGATGAATAATTCGGCCTCTGTTTGAACTTTGGTACATCGACCAACACCCATCTGGAGTAAATAAGTGCGGCCTTTCTCCCCACACTTCATCCAAGGTATCATCTATCATCTAACTGTTAACTGAAGTCTCTTTTTCTGTTAATAATCAGGCCAGGTATTGGAGACACTGTTTGTTTCTTTTTTTGTCCTGCTTCAAAGTTCGGTTGCAAAGAGACGCGCGAGGTGTGACTGGTCGCGCAAAGAGCCTCTTTGACGGGGTGGCACGGGCCGCAAAGAGAGTCTTTTTCGCGAGGTGTTGGCGAGGGAGCCAAATTCTCGGGGTGCCGCCCGTCTTCAAAAGAGCCTCTTTGGCGAGGTGTCACCGGTCGCCCAGACTGGCTCTTTGGCGCGGTGCATCCGGTCGCAAAAAACAGACTTTTTCGCGAGGGGCTCCCAGTTGCCGACAGAGCTTCTTTCGCGAGGTGCCACCTGAGCCGAAAATAGCATTTTTCGAACGGGGATAACGGTCGCCAAAAGTGGCTCTTTTGTGAGGTGTCACCGGTCGCCCAAAGAGCCACATTGCCGAGGTGACCAGTCACCTAAAGTGCTCATCTGACAAGGTGCAACCGGTCGCCAAAAGTGCCCGGGCGCCAAAAAAGTGCCTCTTTGGCAAAGTGCACCCACCCGCATTCGGTTGCGAATCGCAAGGCGCCTCGACTTGCCGGGGTCCCTTGCAGCAAGCAACAGCATCATGATGGTGAAGCTTGTCTTCAACTCCGGATACATGAGCTGAGTATGAAGATGCGATAAGGGATTGCGGGCGCACTGGGGATTCCCGGAGCCTTGAACCGATCTGCAATCAGATTTCCTCCGAGTCCCCAAAACCGACATCTCTCCTTCGGTATTAGTCAAAAGTGCACCCAGGGCAGCACACACCACACATACTCGTCACAGACAGTTGTTGGCAGTGTTCTATCCGAAAATGCTTTCTCTCTGGCTTCGACCTCGCAAGCGTCTTCGGCGAATTCCGCGCAAGCTTCAACGCATCTGCATCCAACTTCCGGCTTCTTCTGATTCTTCCTGGCCGTTTTTTACACATGATTCATAACGCCGATCGGCAGTGCACAAAACCAAACAAACCCATTGTCTGAGGGCGAAAAAGGATGGCGCCCAACGTGGGGCTCGAACCCACGACAATTCGATACCGTTTAACCATGAAGGTCACTGGAGGAACTCTGAAGGAGATAAGAGTCGAATGCTCTACCAACTGACACTACGGTCATTTGGCTGTCGCATCGTTGTGATGCGACAGCCGTCGCTTTACGTGAGGGCCACTCGCGTGCGACAACAACCCCCAAACTAAATGCAGCGACAGCAGGGAAAGCTGAAGCGACATCAGTGGCTACAAGCGACAAGCATGGGTAATTGAGACCCGAGATACATAATATGAAAAATTAAAAAACAAATGAAAAGTGAAAATCGGAGGAAAAACCTCCCGACTTGCTCCGGCCGCACTGTCCAGACAAGAGAGACCGTTGGTTAAGAACCTTGCCAGAGCCGGCTCGGCCTGTCGAGACGGTCCGATTTGAAGCAGACTTGAAGCTTGTGCAGCTGTTCTCTCAGCTCGGCTCGTGGAGTTTTTGTTTGGGGGCAAAAGTTCATGAGATGACCAACTGTCTCCCCAGCTCCACAAAATGGGCAGAGGGGGTCGAGATGCCTGCAAATGCGGAATAGAAGTGCGCAATGACCTGATACCAGCTGATTAATCAACGAGCTGATGGATACGGCGAGGGTCGAGGGTGCTGGTCTTCTATCAAGGAGATCAGCCGTTACCGTTGCTGAATGATTGCCCTTGATTGCAAGAAGCGTCGTAGGGGCTTCCCTTGCTAGCTGCTCAGAACTTGCTGGGTTGCACCTATGTCAACTGCTCAACCACCTTGACGAACAATCACCGACTGGCCTGTCCAATCTACGAACTACGACCCGTTGCTCAACCACCTTGAGGAACATCCACCGACTGGCGGTCCTGTCTGAATCATTTTGTTTTTTTTTCAATTTTGGAAACCAACTGGCCTGTCCGAAGTACGAACTACGACCCGTCGCTCAACCACCTTGAGGAACATTCACCGACTGGCCGTTCCTGTCTGAATCACGTTTTTTTTGCGCCGTTTTTTTTTCAAACTTGGAAACCGACTGGCCTGTCCGAAGTACGAACTACGACCCGTTGTTCAACCACCTTGAGGAACATCCACCGACTGGCGGTCCTGTCTGAATCATTTTTTTTTTTTCAATTTTGGAAACCAACTGGCCTGTCCGAAGTACGAACTACGACCCGTTGTTCAGCCAGCTTGAGGAACATCCACCGACTGGCGGTCCTGTCTGATTCATTTTGCACCGTTTTTTTTTTTCAACTTTGGAAACCGACTGGCCTGTCCGAAGTACGAACTACGACCCGTCGCTCAACCACCTTGAGGAACATTCACCGACTGGCCGTTCCTGTCTGAATTACTATTTTTGCGCTGTTTTTTTCAAACTTGGAAACCGACTGGCCTGTCCAAAGTACAAACTACAACCTGTTGTTCAACCACCTTGAGGAACATCCACCAACTGGTGGTCCTGTCTGAATTACAATTTTTTGTGCCGTTTTTTTTTTCAAATTTGGAAACCGCTATCTTTTTTTTTCAAACTTCAAAACAAATCACAAAACATGCCAAAAACCCAAAACGGGAAGGAACTCTGCACTTGTTCAAAATGCATCTTCAACTCAGTCTATGATCCAGAAACCAAAACAACCCAGCATGGAAAATACCTTGCTCCTCGAACCATCAGGACACATCAACTTCAAGATAGAAAGCCTTTGGTCATGGAGGATTCAAACAGTGATAAATCTTCAACCAACAATAGCACAGTTATTCATTCTGACTCCTCGAATGGTTCAGTCTTTGAAGGGCCCAACATGGCTGACAACAACTTGATTTGTGAGTTCTCTTTCCTTTCCTAATTTTTTTTTCCAAGAAAAAAATATATATCTGACATGCAAAACAGCTTTCATTGTTCTCTTTATATCTTGGCTTTACTTATTCTGTGGTGTGAGCCGTGAGAATTGTAGGACTGCTTGTAATTTCCTTTTCAAAATTCTTGAGGAATTCCAGAAAAAATCAGCTCCAATCAACCAGCTTGAAACACTTGCCCGTGATCTGCGAAGCCTTATTGAGAAAGCCGACATCAATCCTACCCTCATCAAAACTATATGCTGCCGTGAATGCTTTTCCCTATACCCGCCGAACCGTGATGCACCCCTCTTCTGCACCTATCTACCGTATCCAAACGAGGAACAATGTGGAGAACCTCTATTCAAACAGAACCGGGTGTATCGTGGCATGAAGGACCTTGGCCAATTCCCCCCCAAATCAACAACCAAAAATCCGGTTCCTTATCCTCAATTCGTTGGGGTTCCTCGCTGTTATTTCATCTCTCAGTCCATTCTCACCTGGGTCACCTGGCTCCTTTCCAAACCAGACACTGAGAAGGAAATTCAAGAATGGGCTGGCGAAGTTGGCAATCAAGACGATTTTCTGATTGATGTTCAAAACGGCACCGCTTTCAAAACCTTGTTCAGTAAAGATCAGTCCAACTCTTTGGACTTGGCCTTATCTCTATTCGTCGATTGGTTCAACCCACGTGGAAATAAAATCTCTGGAAGTGTTGAATCTAGTGGAGTGTTTGCTTTCTCTTGCTTAAATCTCCCACCCTCAACTCGAAACAAAGTCTCCCATATTGGTCTTGCTGGAATAACTCCAGGTCCCTTTTCACCCAACACCGAAACAATCAATCATCTCTTGAAACCGTTTGTTGATGAATTAATTCAGCTGGAATCTGGTGTTGAAATCCGAACCTATCAGTATCCTAATGGTCGAACGGTGCGAATTAAGTTACTGTGCTTGCTCGGTGATGCCCCGGCAGTCAAGAAGGTTGCAGGATTTGCCTCTCACTCCGCAAAATACTTCTGCTCATTCTGCAAAGAAAAATTGAATGATCTTGGAATGTTGCAACGTGGACCAAACAGGTCAAAGGATGCGACACTAGCGGCAGCCCAATTGGCCAAGGATTCAAAGTCAAGCACGGAATCAGAGAATCTTCTCAAAGAGTCAGGTGTACGATGGTCAGAACTCAACCGCCTAAGCTACTGGAATCCGTCTGATAACATTGTGCTTGGTGTCTTGCACAATTGGCTCGAAGGGATCTTGCAAGCTCATTTCCGATATCGATGGGGTTTCAAATCAATCACCAAGAAGGAATCTGAAAAACGAAGACGTTCTGCTTATGCACAATCAAGAAGAAAGCGGGCACGATTGGGTGGCGCCGCATCTGCAATGTCTTTGGACGAGACCTCTGAAAATTCCAGACTGGAGGACAGCTCAGATGAAAGCGACACAGATCTTGTCCTTGATGGTGGTCCAGATGGTTCATTTTTCTCTCAGAACGATATCGAAACTTTCCGTCGCAGTATGAAGGAGGTCATACTACCACATGGTCTTGACAAGTTACCCCCAAACCTTGGCGAAGAGAGTCATGGACGACTGAAGGCATCACAGTGGTTTACCCTCTTCTCATACATCATCCCATTGGTTATCTTTGATCTCTACATAACCGAAATTGGAAATATTGACAGTCAACCAAAACTATCGAATTTTCTCTTCAACACAGGAAATCTGGTTTCATGCACTCGAATTATCTGCTCTAGGAAAATTAACGACCTCCACATCAAACGATTTGAGTCAGACTACAGAAAATACAGTGACACTGTTGGCGAACTCTTCAAAGGCGTGAAGGTACAACCGAATCACCACTACGCTTTACATTATACAACTCAATTGCGTCGATGGGGGCCTGTTGTCTGTCTCTCTGAATTTCCAGGGGAGAGACTCATTGGATTTTTGCAAAAAATCAAGACAAACAATTTGATTGGTGGGTGCAATCTCAATACGTACTCAGGTACAACATCTAGTGACAACATCTACTTAATATTTATTTTCTTTTTTCAGACCAGATGAATGCAACAATGATGACTCGGGGATGCCAATTACAAAAAATGATTGACAAGCCTGGATACAAAGAATTCCTCCAGACCAATGGCGAAAACAACAAATCTCAAACAGCAAAGTCACCTGCCTCTATATACCTCTCTGACGCAGTCTACGGGAAGCTATTCAGCTGGGTAAGGAGACAACATCCATCATTAAGGCATCGAGACGAGTTCCCAATACCACGTGGATTGCCGGTTCTATCTGGGTATGCAACACCTGTTCAGTCTGTTTTGTGTGGAGATGTCAGGGTATCCTGTTTAGAACCACAAAATTGTGTGGTTGCTAAGCTTGGTGGTAAGCTGAAGTATGGCATTGTGAAGCAGATATACATGTACAAAAACCATCTAGAAGAGATAAAACATGTTATTTTCTGCTCACCAATTGTCAACCTATACCCCAAGAGACTCAACCTTCCCACGACTCGTTTTCGCTTCTCCTTATATCAATGTGCGGCTGTTGTCGGAAAGTTGGATCGGGACGAGGACCTGCTGCTTGAACCAGCAAACATTGACTCAGTTGCAGCATACCGTTTCTTGCCTCGCAATACTTTCTCAATTGAATCCAATGGAATTATACTAACCCCATACAATAGATCCCCCCTTTTGGAATTATCTGGAAGCAGCTGAAAAATATATTCTGTTTATCATTTGTTTCCCATTTCTTCAGCTTGATGTTTGTATTCCATGTAAAATACTGACTTGCCACAATAAACCCCCCTTTCTTCTGATCTTGTACGTAGAAAATGATTCTCAACTCTTAAAATTCACATGTGTACAATTTCAACTTCAATGTTCATCACCCATAAGAGCAAAGTGCCTAGAGTTGTCCCAACTACTTGTTGGACCAGCCTTCCCAGCATTCAAGGCTTTCATTTCCCATGGTACAATGCATTCAATTTCAACACTATGGGGGGCTAGTATGTACATGGGAGGCTAATGACAGTTGTTGA